TCAGGTCATGATCCCGGGGTCCTGGAATCGAGCCCCGCATCGGGCTCCCTGCTTGGCGGGAAGCCTGCTTCTCCCTCTGCCTCTGCCTCTCTCTCTCTCTGACTCTCATGAATAAATAAATAAAGAATTTAAAAAAAAAAAAACACAAGTGGGGCCATATAAGCTTATTATTCTTCAAATTGCTTCTTGTACTTATTTGGCTATTATTCTATATCAGCACATATAAATCTACCTCATGGGCGCCTGGGTGGCTCAGTTGGTTAAGCGACTGCCTTCGGCTCAGGTCATGATCCCGGAGTCCCAGGATCGAGTCCCGCATCGGGCTCCCTGCTCAGCAGGGAGTCTGCTTCTCCCTCTGACCCTCTTCCCTCTCGTGCTGTCTGGCTCTCATTCTCTCTAATAAATAAATAAAATCTTTTAAAAAAATAAATAAATCTACCTCATTCATTTAAAATAAATGTTTCAAGACTCTTAACTAGGGCGCCTGGGTGGCTCAGTTGGTTAAGCGACTGCCTTCGGCTCAGGTCATGGTCCTGGAGTCCTGGGATCAAGTCCCACATCGGACTCCCTGCTCAGCGGGGAATCTGCTTCTCCCTCTGACCCTCTTCCCTCTCGTGCTCTCTATCTCTCATTCTCTGTCTCTCAAATAAATAAATAAAATCTTTAAATAAATAAAAAAAAAAAGACTCTTAACTATAGAGAACAAACTAATGGTTACCAGAGGGGAGGTGGGTGGGGGGATGGGTGAACGAGGTGAAGGGGACTAAGAGCACACTTACCCTAATGAGCACTGAGTAATGTATAGAATTGTGAATCACTACATTGTACACTTAAAACTAATTTAACACTGTATGTTAACTATACTGGAATTAAAATTAAAAAATAAATAAAATGGATGTTTCAGTACATATCAGGACCTAGCCTGATAAATATTTAGGTGACTAGACTTTTCTGCTTACAAACAATGCTTAACTAACATATTTGGAAATATAACTTCATGTGTTTGTGTCAATGTATCAGTTTTAACATTTTAGGTATTCAAAGTTGTCAAATCACCCACCAAAAATATTGTACTGATACCCTTCTCCCTACCTCTCCAAACCATTCAAAATATTGGATACTACCAACTTTTTAAAATCTGCCAATCCAGAAGAAAATATTTTTATTTGCATATCTATAATCACAAATCACTTTTCTACTGGATGATTCTTTTTCTTATAGGCTTATAAGACACTATGGTAGTGTCAGAAAATTAGCCCTTTGTCACGTGTTGTAAACAATTTTTTCTCTTTGTTACCTTTTTTTTATTTTTTTTAAAAATTTATTTGAGAGAGCGAGAATGAGAGAGAGAGTACATGAGAGGGGGGAGGGCCAGAGGGAGAAGCAGGCTCCTCGCCGAGCAGGGAGCCCGATGCGGGACTCGATCCCGGGACGCCGGGATCATGACCTGAGCCGAAGGCAGTTGCTTAACCAACTGAGCCACCCAGGCGCCCTCTTTGTTGTTATCTTTTAACAATGTTTACAGTAAATTTCTATGTTCTTCCCATTAGGGCTCCTAGGTTTTATATACGTTTTTAAGGTGCTTCCATCTGAAATATTTTAAAAAGTACATGTTTTCTTCTACTCCTTTTATAATTTCATTTTTATTGAGAGCTTTCAACAACTGTAAATTAAAATGTAGATATACAATTATTTACAAAGTTGAAGCTCAACTAGGTAAGAAAATGGAAAAACACTGCAAGGAAATAAAACACTGACAGTGGTTATTGCTGAATGATATGGTTATATATGATATTCTTTATTGTAATTTCCAAATTTTCTATGTACATTACTTTTATAATCAGAAGAAAATAAAATTTCTTAAAATCATCATATTTAAAATTTTTCTTAAGTTTTTGATGATACTAGCTTCATTTCTCAATTATTATTTGAGTACCTTACCCAGATTGAGTCTAATACTGGGGTACAGCTTTGTATTTTCTTTTAACTCTATTGACACAGATGACCTGACAGGAAAAAACTACCAAATAAGGGTCTACTGAAAGCAAGAATTACAGTTCCAGTTAGGAAATTAATCTGAATAGTAATCCCAATAATAGTTACTCCTATTAGGTATTTACAACGTGCCAAACGCTTACATTTATTAACTCATTTATTCTTTTCAACATCTTTGTGAGGTAAGTACTGTTGTTCTCTCCATTTTACACACTGGGAAACTAAGGCACAGAGAGGTTAAATAATTTGCTCAAACCATGAAAGCTCTTAAAAGTAGAGGAGCCAGGACTGGAATTCAAAAAGTCTGGCTCTAGAATCCTTATTCTTTTTATTTATTTTTTTTTCTTTTGAGAGAGAGAGCAAGCAAGCGAGCATGGGGGTGGGTGTGTGGGAGTGGAGAGGCAAAGGGAGAGAGAATCCTAAGCAGTGGGCCCCACAAACAGCGCAGAGCCGGCGCGGGGCTGGATCTCACAACCCTGAGATCATGACCTGAATGGGAATGAAGAGTTGGATGCTCAGGGCCCCTGGGTGGCTCAGTTGGTTAGGCATCTACCTTTGGCTCAGGTCATGATCTCAGGGTCCTGGGATTGAGCCCCGTGTTGGGCTCTCTGCTCGGTGCATGTCTGCTTCTCTCTCTTTCCCTCTGTGATCCCTCTCACTCTCTCAAATAAATAAATACAAAATCTTAAAAAAAAAAAAAGTTGGACGCTTAACTAACTGAACCACCCAGGTACCACTGGAATCCTTATTCTTAACTTCTAAACTAAAATCCTATCTAAAAGATTAACAGAAAAACTGGGAAGCTAGTTCTGACAACTTAGAAAGTGTAGAAGAATAAAACTAAGCCACAAAAGGGCCTGACAATAGATTTATTTAAAAAAAAGAAAAAAGAGAGAGAGAGGTCTATGAGAAATATATCTTTATTTTTTACAAACCCCTAGCTTCAGAGATTTGAGAAAAAACTTGACAAGGAAATTTTTTCCTTCTTTATTCAGATGGTGTCTCTAAGTTGAGCCTCTGAGCTGTGGTTTCCCAAACATAATGTCAGTGCACCGTCACAAGATAATGGTGCTTTTAAGAGCTGAGTAATAACAATTACCTATCACATAAAGCATTGCTAACATTAAATTATTTTAAGAGTAAAAACTAAAAGCAGTGGCAGGTGCCTATGACTTCACTGGTCAATCATTTGTTCTTTGTCTCTTAGTTTGCCAGACTGCTTGGATCTTTCCAAATGTGCAAATTTTTCTCACATAATGCAAGGGGATATACCCACGACATCATTTTCAATGTGTTACTTTCCCCAAAAACGTTCATCCAATTTAGGCCATATATTTCTGGCAAGTCAATTTTTAGTGCTTTGTGTGAAGCTGAAAGTCAAATAAAAGGTAAACAAATACAAAACTTTACTTCTCACAGATTAGAGGTGGAATTTTTAGAATGAGCCCTTCTGATTCTGAGCTCCACTATGCATTAGAGATAGTCATTTTATGCTTCATTTTCTGACTTTGCCCTTGTCAATATTACTGCCTCAAAAATCCCTTCAAGTACCTAAAAGACAAAATATTTTCAACTTGCTTTTTTGCTTTTTAAAAATAAAGGATTGAAAACTAATACCCGACCGCAAAAATGTAGGCACAAACATAAAGGAAAGGCATATAAAGAAATTTCTGTCAATCAACCTTGTGCTTTGTGTACTTGTAAGCTTTTCTGAGTAAAAATGGTCAAATTGGACTAGTAGCATCTCTGAGAAACAGCTTTTAAGTTGGTAGCAATTTTTAGAAATAACACAGATTAACTACAGATGAATGGCCAAAAATTGCCAGCGATAAGAACCATAAACTTGGGGGTGTCTGGGTGGCTCAGTTAAGCATCCCAATCTTGATTTTAGCTCAGGTCATGATCTCAGGGTTGTGGGATTGAGCCCCACGTCGGGCTCTGTGCTCAGTGGGGAGTCTGCTGGAGACTCTCTCCCTCTGCCCCTCCCCCTGCTCTCTCTGTCTCAAATAAATAAATAAATGTCAAAAAAAAAAGGACCATAAGCTTGAAACCCAGGAGCTCTCTACAGTTGAATTTTGATGTTACGACTGTTTTCTAAGGATTTGCTCTATAAAATTCACTTCACTTTTCTAATATTCTAATCTATAAAAAGGGGATTAAAATAATTGCTCACTACTGCTATGAAAATTCATGATATTCCTATTAGAAACTACTAGACATTTATAAACTGATAGAACAAATGATTACCTTATAAAAAAAAGAACTGCTTAGATTCATTTATGAGCATACTATGTTTGGAAAAAACAATATATTAACATCTCTTGAGAGTTTATGTTGATAAATTTCAAGCAGAGGAATGTGACTCACAGGGAAATGTCAGAGTACCCAAAGAAAGAGTTAGAGATATAGAAGAAGGTTACCTAAAAATTATATAAGAAAAAGGCCTGAAATGGCCCTTTATTACGTGGACTTTTTTTTTTAAGAAGGCTCCACACTGGGCACCTGGGTGGCTCAAGTTGGTTAAGCGACTGCCTTCGGCTCAGGTCATGATCCTGGAGTCCCGGGATTGACTCCCGCTTCAGGCTCCCTGCTCAGCGGGGAGTCTGCTTCTCCCTCTGACCCTCTTCCCTCTCGTGCTCTCTCTCACTCTCTCTCTCTCAAATAAAAAAATAAAATCTTTAAAAAAAAAACAACACAGAACTTGAACTCATGACCCTGAGATCAAGACCTGAACTGAAATAGTCAGACGCTTAACCAACTGAGCCATCCAGGCGCCCCTATTACATGGACTTTTTTATCACTCTTGGCCAGCCTAGAAGAGCCACTTACTTGCCAGAGAAGAAAACAGTAACTCTTAGATAAGTAGTTAGTTACTATGACACCTTTAGGAGCTTATTTTTAGAGGAAGGAAAAATGGGGAATTAGAGACCCAAGAAAGATCACAAATAAATTTTACAATAAATATTTCTAGAGATTTAGAATAACAATATAAAACTTGTACTTACAACTTGAGATTCACGAGCTTTAGGAAATGTTTTGGCAACATTGAGCCCATCGATGACAATATCAAAAGGAGGACAGCATTTTACAAAGTTCTGAAATCTCTCGAGTTCCTAAAAATGAAAAGCCAGATAAAATATTAATAAGAACTTCACAAGGGCTTTATTATAAACACATTATGACTTTTATTATTGTTCTGGTAGGGAAAAATATTTATCGCTTAAAAATATACAAACTCAAAAACACTTTCGAAATGAAATCTGAAAAGACCAGACTAAGAGATGCAACTGCATGGAATTATCTGAAATGCTTTATAATCTCATAGCACTTTATGCTTCATAGAGTGCTTCCACATGCTAATTGCATTTGATCCGTAACCAGCTCTCACCTGCTAACTTGACTCACATGGCAGTCATGATGAAAATGAAATGTCAGAATCTCTAACCTGCTCTTAAGCCAAGGAGATTTAAACCTCAGATATGCTAGTCTACCAGTACAACAGTGTTGAAAGAACAAGGCTCTATAATAGTCCCTCTTTGATCATCAAGATGATTTTGTTTACTTCTAGCTATTTTGAAGAGTTGAAATATTCAACAAATATTTGTGGGGCATTTACTATTGTTTCCAGCAGTTACCAAAGAGACAAAACTCTAATGGAGCCTGCATTTTGGTAGGAGACACAAAATAAACCAAATAAATAAGTTAATAAATTATATTAAATGCCAAATGTGATGAGTGCTATGGAGGAAAGAAAAGGAGCGGGAGTTCCATTACTGGTAATGATGGAGTAGTCTGTACTGGACTATCAGATAACATAAATTCTATATGAAAAACAACTATTTGAAGGTACTACATAATGAACAAAAGCAGACAGAAATTCAACGGAATGCAAAATTTGAAAGACCGTATGGCTACCCGACAGTCGAACTGTGTCCCCTCCAACAGCCAGCATCAACATCAGCCCCATGAGAATGAGGAAGACTTCAAGATGACCTCAGCCCCCTTTTAATTACAATGGTAGAATACCCAAGCAAGAGCCACACAGCTGAGTCTAGTCAAACTCAAGAACCATGAGAGATAATAATAAAAATAATAAGTGTTTCTGTTTAAAGCCACTACATCTGGGTGGTTTGTTATCTACCTATGGATAACCAAAAAAGAAAGGAACTGCACCAGGTGAAATGTGCCCATATATGGCTTTTTCCCAAAGGGCACTGTCCAGTTAGTGTGCTTGGCAGACAGAGGTGGCTGGAAATCAAGCAGAAAACTGTAGACTTACTGGTTTGAGAAATCAGAAGACAGCATTTAGGTATGTCAGAGAGCCTGGAAAGTGAGAAAGTAGGTGCTATAAAGGAGGGAACCACAAAAGTCTGCATAATTTTGCCCAAATCCTTGGCTAACTCTTATTTGTGCGTGCATGGAGAAGACTCTGTGGGCCCAGCAAAAAAGCAACAGATGAAAGACTTAAAAGACCTGAGCCGAGATTTCAGTTACTATCCACTACAAAGATGACAGAGTCTGTAGTCAGAGTCTAACCAACTTTAACAGCCTGGCAAAGCAAAAAAATCAATAACCTCTGGAAAAAGATAACAGAATCTTTTGCCTTTGCATTGTGTTCCCCAAAATATCCAATATACAATTAAAAGATTTATAAACAGGGGCACCTGGGTGGCTCAGATAGTTAAGTGTCTGCCTTCAGCTCAAGTCATAATCTCCAAGACCTAGGATCGAGCCTCACAGAGGGCTCCCTGCTTAGCAGGGAGTCTGCTCCTCCCTCTCCCTCTCCCTCTACCCCCCACCCCTGTTCATGTGCTTGAGCTCTCTCTCTCTCAAATGAATAAATAAAATTTAAAAAAAGGATTAATAAACATTAGAAGAAACAGGAAAATATGACCCATGGTCAAGAGAAAAGAAAGTGGACAGAAATCAATCAAGGTCTAGATGCTAGTCAGCAGGCAAGAACTTTAAAGTAGCTCTTCTAAATATATTCAAGAATTTAAAGGAAAATACAATTATAATGAAATCAAAGAAGGGAAAACAGAAAAATGTAAACTATAAAAATGAACATTCTAGAACCCAAAGCACATATGTGAAATAAAATATTCACAAGATGGACATTAACAGCAGATTAGGGATGGCAGAAGTAAGAATCAATGAACATGAATCACAGAGAAATAGAAATTATACAATCTGAAGAAAAAAAGAGAAAAAAAGATAAAGCCTTAGTAACCTACCTGTGCAATAATGTCAAACAGACTAACATATGGGTAATTACAGTCTATAAGAAGAGGATAGTAAAGACAGGGTAGAAAAAAAAACACTTGAATAAAGGCCAAAATTTCCCCCAAATTTGTTGAAAAATGTAACTTACAGACCCAAGAAGCAGAGCAAACACAAAACAGGGTGAACACAAAGAAACACAAAGCAGGATAAATCATAGGTAAATGAAACATGCAGATGTGGTATGTGTAACAACAACAGCACAAATGACAGTAAGTGGTAAATGGAATTCTACTGCTGCTAGGTACCTACATTTTTTTTTTTTTGCTAGGTACCTATATTTTATGTAAAATGGTACAATCTAAACTCTAAGTCAACTAGATTAAGGGTTCATATTGTAACCCCAAGTCACACATTAAAAAATAATGCAGAAAAGGTATAGATAAAAAGTGAACAGAAGAATAAAATGAAACAGTAAAAAAAATTTGTTTTGATTAGCCCAAAAGAACATGAAAGGAAGAACAAGGGGACAAAAAAATTTGGGGGTAAAAAGAAAATAAATTACAAAATAAAATATTTAAATTCAACCCTATCAAAAATGTTGCTTATAACAGATATACCATAAATATGAAGATACGGATAAACTCAAAATAAAAAGTAGGGGGAAAATATCATGTATCAGTGAGCTTAAGAAAGTTGCAGTGACAGGGGCCCCTGGGTGACTCAGTGGGTTAAGCATCTGCCTTTGGCTCAGGTCATGATCCCAGGGTCATGGTCCCGGGATCGAGCCCCACATCAGGCTCTCTGCTCAGTGGGAATTCTGCTTCTCCCTCTCCCTCTGATCCTCCTCCCCGCTTGTGCCCTCGCTCTCTGTGTCTCAAATAAATAAATAAAATCTTTAAAATAAATAAAATTAAAAAGAAAGTTGCAGTGACAACATTAGTGTTAGATAAAATGGATTTCAAGAAAAGGAATATTACAAAAAATAAAAAGGGAGACTTCATAATGACAACAGCAATATAGGAAGTCATATTCATAAATAAGAACAAAGCTTCAAAATATATGAAGCAAAACTTGACTGAAGTTGAAACAGGAACAGTTAAGTCTACATTTATAGATGGTAATTTCAACATTCCCCTCTTCATAACTGATAGAACAAGTAGAAAAAAAATCAGTGAGGATAGAGAAGACATAAACTATACTATTAACCACTTGGACTTGATTGATATCTAAAGAACACTACACCCAACAACAGCAAAATATTTTTTCTTTTCATGTACACATAGAACACAAAATATTGAAATCTGAAAGGTATGTTTGCTGATCACTCACACATACATACACACAACCAGAAGCCAACAGCAGTGGATATCTATAAAAGTCCCAATATTTCTTTTTTTTTAAAGATTTTTATTTTTTAAGTAATCTCTACATCCAATGTGGCACCTAACTCACAACTGTGAGATCAAGAGTTGCATGCTCTTCTGACTGAGCCAGCCAGGCACCCTAAAAGTCCCAATAGTTCTAATAGCCCAGGAGTCAAAAAAGAAATTACACAGGAAATTAGAAAATATTTTCAACAAAGTGATAGTAAATATTAAATATCAAAATTTGTGGGCTGCATTAAGAGCAATAGAGGAAAATATATAGCTTTAAGCCCTTAAATGAAAAAAAAAAGGTCTAAATCATTGATCTAAGTTTTTACCTTAAGCTAGAAAAAGAAAAGCAAATTAAATTTCAAAGAAAATAGAATAATAAAGAGCAGAATCAAAAAAATAGAAAACAGAAAAACCAGAAAGTTAACAAGGGGAAGAGTTGGGGGAAAAAAACCTCAATCCCTATCTCACAACACATTCAAAAATTATTTTGAAATAAATCATAAATCTAAACCTAAACACAAAACTTTGAAAATTCTAGAAGAAAAGAAAATTCTTCACAAGATCAGGATAGGCAGAAATTTCTTGGGCAACATATAAAGTCACCACCAATATTTACACAGCGTGCTTCTTAATATGATGCCTCTGATAAAGATATAACAGCATTTTTGTGATATTCTTCCCCCAAATGCATAGCCTGAATCCAATCACAAAGAAGTATCAGATAAACCGAAACTAAGAGGCATTCTATAAAATAATAGGCTTATAGTTTTTGTGGGTGTTTAAGTCAAAGTCCATAAAGACAGAGAAAACTGAGATTTTTGTTGCAGATTAAAAGAAACCAAAGAGAGTGCCTGGGTGGCTCAGTTGGTTGAGCGACTGCCTTCGGCTCAGGTCATGATCCTGGAGTCCCGAGATCGAGACCCGCATTGGGCTCCCTGCTCAGCAGGGAGTCTGCTTCTCGCTCTGACCTTCTTCCCTCTCATGCTCTCTCTCTACCATTCTCTCCCTCTCAATAAATAAATAAAAATCTTAAAAGAAACCAAAGAAGCATGACAACTAAACAGCAATGTGTGATCCTGAATTGGATATGGGGCAAGGAAAAGTTTATAAAGGACATTTTCGGCACAACTGAAAAACCTGAGTATCAGCTGTAAATTAGATGGTATTATTATATCAGTATTACAAAGATGAACTCCCTATAGGCCAATAAGCACATGAAAAGATACTCAAAATCATTAGTCATTAGGGAAATAAAAATTTATAGCCACTGTGAGGATATCATTATACACCACTAGAATGGTTAAAGACTGACCATTAAAGTATGTGGAGCAACTGGAACTTTCAAACATTGCTGGTAGGAATGTAAAATGGTACAACCTCTCCGGAAAACAACTGGGCAGTTTCTTACAAAGTTAAGCATACATTTATTCTATAACTCAACAATATCCACCTCTAGGTATTCAAAGAGGATAAATGAAAATATATATCCACCCAAAGACTTATATATGAATATT